CAATGTCACTTGGGTCTTTGCATATGCTATAGGTCCATGCGATGGTGATGGTAATGAAGATTGATACGTTAGATTCATGGAGGATGTCTCGGCAACGCAGCTTCTTCTCCTTTCCGCTCTACTTTTTCTGCTGCCTTGCTCTGCTTATGATGCCTGCGACGAACTCGACCGTGATGCTCTCTTGTCCTTGCCTTTCAAGGCACCGTTGAATTGGTCTGCTTCGACTGACTGCTGCCTTTGGGATGGAATCATCTGCGACCCACTTTACCATATCCGCGTCATCTGGCTACGGTTGCCGAAAAGAGGCTTATCCGGTGTCGTCTCTTCTGCCGTCACCAACCTCACCCTTCTAACCCACCTCAATCTTTCCCACAATTCCCTATTGGGTTCTCTCCCAGATGACTTGCTTTCTTCCCTACCAAGTCTTCAGGTCATTGACTTGAGCTTCAATCGTCTCATCGGCCGCTTTCCATCATCTTCTAATGCAAGCAACCACCTTCAAATTATAAACTTGTCCAGCAACTTCTTCAATGGAGCAATCCCGTCTTCGGTCCTTGTCCCATCAATATCAATTTACAAAGTCAGCAACAACAGCTTTTCCAGGTCAATAGCTTTCACTTCCTGTCAATAGCTTCTCTGGACACATCGGCGATGGCATTGTGAAGCTCACCAATCTCAACATCATAGAGCTCCACTCAAACCAATTTTCCGGGAAAATCCCCAGCCATGTTGGTAAACCTTTCAATGTTGGAAAAGCTGCTCCTCCACACCAACAACTTCACAGGTCCTTTGCCTTCATCTCTCCCCAACTGCACAATTCTATCGAGCTTGAATTTGCGGGTCAACAACTTGATGGGAGAGCTCTCTGCTTTCAAATTTTCAACTCTCCAACGCCTCGCCACTCTGGACCTTGGCAACAACAACTTCATTGGTGAGTTACCTCAAAGCCTCTACTCTTGCAAGTCCTTAACAGCTATTAGATATGGCAGCAACCAGCTCACAGGCGAGATGTCACCTGGAGTAGTCGCGTTAGAATCACTGTCCTTCCTTTCCATCTCTGCCTACAACCTGAGAAATGCCGCGGGGGCTTTTAGGATTCTGAAGGGTTGCAAGAATCTGACCACTCTGGTCTTGTTCATGAATTTTTTGAACGAGCCTTTCCCAGATGATAAAAGCCTTGGAGACCCAGTTGGATTCCAAAGTCTTGAGGTTTTTTCCCTGGGCGCTTGTCAATTCACAAGACAAATACCAACCTGGCTAGCCATGCTTAAAAAGATAAAACAAATACTTGTTGTCAAAGCCTTCAACCAGTATTTACAGATACTCTGAGATCCAAGCCAAAGACAAAGAAAATTCTCACTGCACTCATCTTTGGGATTTTCTTTGGCATTGGCTTTGCCATTGGTCTTAACGTTGATGATAAAAGAATTCCATTCATCGGTACTAGCTTTTGCTGTGCCAACATTTTGATCCGTGTATGGAATTCGTCACATATATGGTATGACAATCAATGACTTTGAACTTGTGTTGCCAAAAGTATATGTGAACAACCAATATTTGAGAACTTCTTTGTCAAGCCCCTCATTGCCATAAAATTCTGGCTCCGCCACTAGATACATGTGCAGAAACTCAACACCTTATTTACTAGGATATTAGACCACATACAAAGATAGAAAAAACTTCCAAACCGAGTCCTTAATTATTTCAATTGCTTCCTGCAAATGACTTCCGCATAAACATAAATTTGACTAGATTAAGAGGTAGGTTGTCAACTCCCGAGTTTTGGCTTCATGTTTAAACTAACAGTCATTATTATATTATGTGAATGTGAATATTTAGCCAGTCCAGCAGCCACTAATCCTTTCAAAGTAAACGCTCATCTGATCTAATGGACTATGGATAATGCTAGGGAGACTAAATTTTTAGACAAAATTTTCGAAACTAAAGGACATGGAAGTTCATAATTGATTTATTGCTTAAGGTTAATAAGAATGCTCATCCTTACTCGTGACACATAATTTACTTTGTAAATTTTGTCTACAATATTGGTTGTTCGGTTAATGTACAAGTCAACTGACTGCTGGCTTAATAATGTATAAGGTGATAACTATTGTACTAAAATTAATGAAAGACATAACCGAAGAACAAAGAAACGAAAGGAAATCTCTCTAATCTTTGTATTGATGTTTTGACAAAAGGAGGAAGCTTAGGTTATGTTGGGTATCCTTCTTGGATACAATTTTATGTTTAGAAAAATGATGAATAATATATGCTAAATTCCATAATACTTATTAGTTTCAAAAACAAAAAATTAGATACAAGAACGCAAGGTTTTAAAGGCGACATGCTGGAGCCTAGCGCCTAGGCGTCTAAGTGGGGTTCAGGCGGACTAGGTGGATTTAAGTAAATCTATTATATTTCGTGTAAGTAAGTATCTATTTATACTTAAAATATATATATAGTTTCATCATAAACTATAAAATAGAATGACATATATATTATGAAGTATTGGAACATAAGAAAACAGGGGGAACAAACATATAATGTGTGTTCATTTAAGTATTCAACAAGTCTCTTACAATTTATTGAAGAAAATAAAATGCAAAATAAAAGTTATCTATCTTCTGTTTAAGTGAGTTGCAACTTAGGCCGGTTTAGGAGGGATAGACGGGTGCCTAGGCGGATGCCTCAGCAGGTCTAAGCGCCATTTCTTAATTTTCAAACGTTTAGGCATTAACCGGGACGGTGGCCAACCGCTTAATGCCTAGACGGAACCTAGGCGGCGCTAGACAGAGATTTTTAGAACACTGAAAGAAGGATACCAAATAACTTATTATATATACTAAGCTACTAGTAACATGCTGGGTATCCTTCTTGGATACAATTTTATGTTTAGAAAAATGATGAATAATATATGCTAAATTACTTAAGGCTACAACAAACATAGCTGACGTGGCTCCGCGTTCATATTACGTAATCATCGTTGTTGGTTATTTCTGTATAAGGTTTAGCATAAAGGTGAGAAATTACTATGCAGAAAATGTGATTCCTCACATAATGCAATTCATTGTAGTCAAATTAAACTATGTTAAAAGATGTGATAGCAGAAAGCCACTTGAACCCTTTCTTTATATGTTAATGAACACTGATTTGATACAGCATTATATTATTTCTCCCAACTAACAAGGTACTATATATTTAAGGTTATTGACCGCAGTCAACATAGTATAATCTTGAACACATTGGAATAGTCTGTTGCCGGATGCATTAACCAACTTAATTAGTTTCTAATTATTTAGTGGGATCTAGACCAAGTCTAACAGCTCTCAAAAGTTAACTGAGACCAGACATGCAGGATAAATATGTTTGTTTGTGTGTCATTGTGTGTGTGTGTATAGATATAGATATAGATCAGTACATAGAAATTATTCCATGTACTTTGAAGGACATAACCGAAGAACAAAGAAACGAAAGGAAATCTCTCTAATCTTTGTATTGATGTTTTGACAAAAGGAGGAAGCTTAGGCTATGTTGGGTATCCTTCTTGGATACAATTTTATGTTTAGAAAAATGATGAATAATATATGCTAAATTCCATAATACTTATTAGTTTCAAAAACAAAAAATTAGATACAAGAACGCAAGGTTTTAAAGGCGACAGGCTGGAGCCTAGCGCCTAGGCGTCTAAGTGGGGTTCAGGCGGACTAGGTGGATTTAAGTAAATCTATTATATTTCGTGTAAGTAAGTGTCTGTTTATACTTAAAATATATATATAGTTTCATCATAAACTATAAAATAGAATGACATATATATTATGAAGTATTGGAACATAAGAAAACAAAGGGAACAAGCATATAATGTGTGTTCATTTAAGTATTCAACAAGTCTCTTACAATTTATTGAAGAAAATAAAATGCAAAATAAAAGTTATCTATCTTCTGTCTAAGTGAGTTGCAACTTAGGCCGGTTTAGGCGGGGTAGACGGGTGCCTAGGCGGTCTAGGCGGATGCCTCAGCAGGTCTAGGCGCAATTTCTTAATTTTCAAACGCTTAGGCATTAACCGGGGCGGTGGCCAACCGCTTAATGCCTAGACGGAACCTAGGCGGCGCTAGACAGAGATTTTTAGAACAGTGAAAGAAGGATACCAAATAACTTATTATATATACTAAGCTACTAGTAACATGCTGGGTATCCTTCTTGGATACAATTTTATGTTTAGAAAAATGATGAATAATATATGCTAAATTACTTAAGGCTACAACAAACATAGCTGACGTGGCTCCGCGTTCATATTACGTAATCATCGTTGTTGGTTATTTCTGTATAAGGTTTAGCATAAAGGTGAGAAATTACTATGCAGAAAATGTGATTCCTCACATAATGCAATTCATTGTAGTCAAATTAAACTATGTTAAAAGATGTGATAGCAGAAAGCCACTTGAACCCTTTCTTTATATGTTACTGAACACTGATTTCATACAGCATTATATTATTTCTCCCAACTAACAAGGTACTATATATTTAAGGTTATTGACCGCAGTCAACATAGTATAATCTTGAACACATTGGAATAGTCTGTTGCCGGATGCATTAACCAACTTAATTAGTTTCTAATTATTTAGTGGGATCTAGACCAAGTCTAACAGCTCTCAAAAGTTAACTGAGACCAGACATGCAGGATAAATATGTTTGTTTGTGTGTCACTGTGTGTGTGTGTATAGATATAGATATAGATCAGTACATAGAAATTATTCCATATGGTTGAAATGAAAGAAAAGAGAGAGACTGCCAAGAACGAGAAGCATGAGTTCCCAAAAACACCATGCCAACACTAATAAGAAAACAGTTTCTTGTCTTTTGGGGGACTTGACTCAAAATCTTTCTTGGAAAATGTCACAAAGTCAATGTCAATGGGTGAATTTGACTCAAGCTCTTTCTTATAAAATGTCATTCAGTGTTACTTGCTTATACTATAGGTCCATGCGATGGTGATGGTCATGAAGGTTGATACGAACAGATTCATGGAGGATGTCTCGGCAACGCAGCTTCTTCTAATTTCCGGTCTACTTTTTCTACTGCCTTGCTCTGCTTATGCTGCCTGCGACGAACTCGACCGCGATGCTCTCTTGTCCTTGCCTTTCAAGGCACCTTTGAATTGGTCTGCTTCGACTGACTGCTGCCTTTGGGATGGAATCACCTGCGACCCACTTGACCATCGCCGCGTCATCCGGCTGTGGTTGCCGAAAAGAGGCTTATCTGGTGTCGTCTCTTTGGCCATCACCAACCTCACTCGTCTCACCCACCTCAATCTTTCCCACAATTCCCTATTGGGTTCTCTCCCAAATGACTTGCTTTCTTCCCTCCCAAGTCTTCAGGTCATTGACTTGAGCTTCAATCGTCTCATCGGCCGCTTTCCACCATCTTCTAATGGAAGCAGCCGCCTTCAGATTATAAACTTGTCCAGCAACTTCTTCAATGGAATAATCCCGGCTTCAGTCCTTGTCCCATCAATATCAATTTTCAATGTCAGCAACAACAGCTTTTCCGGGTCAATACCCATGAGCAACCGCAGCAGCCATGCTTCCCTTACATTCTTCGACTTGTCTTTCAATGAATTCACTGACACAATTCCCCCTGGAATCGGATCATGCTCCAAGCTCCAAGTTTTTCGTGCAGGCTTCAATGCACTCTCTGGTTCTCTCCCTGGTGAGATATTCAAGCTTGCTGATCTCCAACAGCTTTCTCTGCCTAACAATAGTCTCTCTGGACCCATCAGCGGTGGTATCATGAACCTCACCAATCTCAAGGTCCTAGAGCTCTTTACGAATCTGTTCTCTGGCCCAATTCCAACCCATATCGGTAGCCTTTTCAAGTTGGAAAAGCTGCTCCTCCACATCAACAACTTTACAGGTCCTTTGCCTCCATCTCTCACCAACTGCACAAATCTATCGACCTTGAATTTGCGGATCAACAACTTGACTGGAGAGCTCTCTGCCTTCAATTTTTCGACTCTCCAACGTCTCACCACTCTGGACCTTGGCAACAACAACTTCATTGGTGAGTTACCTCAAAGCCTCTACTCTTGCAAGTCCTTAACAGCTATTAGATTTGCCAGCAACCAGCTCACAGGCGAGATATCACCTGAAGTAGTCGCATTAGAATCGTTGTCTTTCCTGTCCATCTCTAACAACAACTTGAGAAATGCTGCGGGGGCCTTTAGGATTCTGAAGGGTTGCAAGAATCTAACCACTCTGGTCTTGGCCAAGAATATTTTCAATGAGCCTCTGCCAGATGATAAAAGCCTTGGAAACCCAGTTGGATTCCAAAGTCTTCAGGTTTTTGCCCTGGGCGCTTGTCAATTCACTGGTCAAATACCAACCTGGCTATCCATGCTTAAAAATCTTAAAGTCTTGGACCTACCATTTAACCACATAACTGGTCCTATTCCGGCTTCATTGGGTAGTCTGCCCAACCTTTTCTACGTGGATTTGTCTAATAACCTCATTACCGGAGGATTTCCCATTGAGTTTTGTGGGATGCCAGCTTTGACATCGAAAGAGGCCGGTGATATGATAGACAGAAGTTATCTTAAGTTGCCAGTCTTTTTGATGCCCAACAACCCTACTAATCATCAGTACAATCAGCTGTCCAATCTCCCCCCAACTATATGTCTGGGTAACAACAGCCTTACTGGCAGTATCCCTTCTGAAATTTGTCGATTGAAGTATATTCATGTGTTGGACCTTGGTCATAACAACTTCGCTGGCAGCATCCCAGAACAGATTTCCAACCTAACCAACTTAGAGAGACTGAATCTCTCTTATAACCATCTGTCCGGTGAAATCCCTAATTCTCTGAAAGGTCTGCATTTCTTGTCTTCCTTCAGTGTGGCATACAATGATCTTCAGGGACTTGTACCATCTGGAGGTCAGTTAGATACTTTTACCAGCTCTAGCTTTGAAGGGAATCCAGGACTATGCGGCCCTCCAACAGCGAACCTCTCTTGCTCGCCGGTATTTTCAGCTGCTCAGAAATCTAACACACAGGAAGTTTTTAAAGCACTCATCTTTGGGATCTCTTTTGGCTTTTTTTTTGGAATTGGTTTTGGTCTTGGTCTAAACATTGATGATAAAAGAATTCCATTCATTCCAAGGTGTAAGAAAAAATATGTAAACTTGATGCGTACGTAGGTGTTGTGTTCATGTGCCAACAATTTGATGCATGTATGGACGAATTCGATCGTATATATTGTATGAATAAATGGAAGCACCATCAATGACTTTGAATTCGTGTTTCCCAAAGAATTCCAATCTTTCTTAATCCTTAATTATGATAGATTAATCCCGCAAACCCTAAACCCTAAACCCTGTCTGCTAATTCTAAAGCTTTTTTTTTGGTTGTCAAGTGTGATGAAATGTCATTTTTGATAAGGATCCTCCTGACGTATTGGTCTCATCCGTTGATGCAAATCCAACGGTCGAATTAGTTGCAAGTCTTTCTCTCCCTTTCCACAGCTCATCCTTCCTCTCTTACCCCTCAACTCTCTCCCTCCCTTTCGAAGCACCCACTGCCACCCCCTGCATCTTTTCAATCTTCTTCAGCCAGCCCATCCCAATTAAATTCCTTGTTTCGTTTACCTTGTATTTAATTTGCAGCAGGGGATGTTGGGTGGGAGATAGCCGGGGAGGGTTGCTGGGTTGTGTAAGTAGTGGGACTACAGTGGGAGGGTGGATGTCCACAGAAAAGATTTTAAAGTATTTATACGGTTGAATATTATATGGAATAATGATTAAGTCCTTGTGTCATCCTCATTACTTGTCCCAACACCACAACCACACCAAACACCAGGAAGCGGTCTTCTCTATTTAGGTCATGGGACTTTCCTTGTTCTGCTGCTGCCTATGACCAAAGTTGATTATGAAACTATTTCTTGTCCTTTTCCTTGGCCTCCAAGGTATGTCATCATCGCCACCATTGAATAGAACGATTAATCCCTATCCAACCACTTAGAGAAAGCTTAGTTTGAATAGAGAGAACTAGAAAATGTGCTCTTGCTTTGCTGCTGGGCGTTGAATATATTATCCACGACAAACATGAATAATTTCCACACATGTCCTCATTAGGATATGATGAGGCATAAATTTGAAAATTCATATTCAAAGCCAAAAAAAAAAAAAAAAAAAAAATGAAACAATCTTCTATTCTTCTTGGACTATTTGAATAGAATAAGGAAACAAATCTTCTCCACACTCAAAGATTAACAAACAAATTATGCAGCAAATAAACCCCAAAAAGAAAATAAGAAGCAAGAACAATTTTATCAAAGAAATTATTTAAATACTAATTTCATGCAATCCAGTAGCTAAATGCTTAACTCAGGAAAAAAAAAAATCAAACTTTATCCATGTATCACATTCACATGCTTTTTCATTAAATACCCAAATCAATGCAAACAAAATAAGATTAGATACTTATTCAACAATGTTACTAATAAATACTTGTTATCAAGAAGGAATCTAAGAAGCAAAGTTGCATTCTCACCAAAGCTAATAAGCCGCAACGAAACCCCTTTACAAAATAGCTCATGAATACGATCAGGCACCAACACTTTGAGGTCGTTAAATTCCAGAAAATTCTTCTTCATCAACACCACTCAAGTCCATATGTTTGGCATCACGTTGCCAAACTCAGATGCTTGATTTTCCTCCATATGCTCTATTACCTATGATTTCAGATTTCTAATTAGAGTAAGCAACATTATATACCAATTACAGTACAACCGGGGCACTTGATTTCTGTGCAAACAGGAATATTTGCAGGTTTTATGTAGCAAAAATTTCAAAAGACGAGTTTGAAAGAAAAATATGTTAGAAATTACCTCTACGCAAGCGCCAATATCAAATCCACTCGACCAGGAATCAAAATTTGTAATTGAACCATCACAAGGAAATGAAAATTTCATGGCTGATGTACTGACATTTGAATTTGAGTCAAACTTGGAATGAAGTATCTGCAATATTAAGAAAATTAAGATTCATGGCTAAGGAAAGTGTTTAACTAAACAAACTTCATGTCAAACTTGGAATGGAGTATCTCCCTCTCTCTGTCTCTGCAACCCATGCTGTTTGGCAATGGTAGAAATATAAATAATACAAATCGAGGGTCCATTTCACAACAAACATGAATAGACGGGGCAAAATCATAAATATTGAAACTGGTTAGAGACAAAATTACCCTTCTAATTTTAATAATTAACCTTGATGGTACTGGTGTAAATAAAGCAAAATCGAGTGGCAAAGATTTGACTGTAGCTAAGCTACAGTCAAATCCCTCCTCAACGAATAGATAATACTAGTAATAGAGCTCGCGCGTTGCTGCGGGTTGTAAAAGTGTAAAACATACAATAAGTTCTCTACATAAGTATGATCATATTAGGTGTCGAACGGTGGAGTTTACATTCCTGTTTACCGTTATATTTACATACATACACTAATTAGCACTATTTAAATTTCGTTGACTGTCACTTTAGATCTTCCTTGTTTTATTTTTCATGATATACAAGCTTCTCTGATAAAAATAAGAAAAAAACAGAAGTTGTTAATATAAATGAAAATTCAAGTGAGCAGGTAAAGAGAAGTATATATATCGTAAAAAAAAGTTAATAATATAAACTAAAAGTTGTTAGTACATGAAAAGGAAATGCAAGCTACCTATTATTGTCCATTAGCAACTTTATACAAATTTTATTTTGGTGGTAGCAAAGGTTTTTTTTTTGGTGGTAGCAAAGGTTGATCAGCAATGTTTTACAATTTTTTTTTCCTGCATAGTAATACGTTGTATGACAGTGTTATGATCATAAAAAATAAATAAAAAGAGTTGAAGTGTTTCCTTCCAAATCAAATTTACCTACCATGGGAGAGGTTGATCAAGCATTTATTTAGATGTTGAGCACATGCCAAAGATCTCAATCATTGAAGCTAATGGCATACTGTTGAAAAAAACACTAAGGGCTGGTTTGGTATTGCTGTGCTTTGAAAAAAAGCTGCTGTGAGAATAAGCGGCTGTGCTGTGAGAATAAGCGGCTGTGAAATAAATCAGCAGAGCGTTTGGTAAACTTTTTTGCAAAAAAGCTTTTGGAAAAAAAAGTAGTCTGATAGTGGGTCCTTTCATTAAAGGAGCACTGTAGCTCCATGTGCTTTGAAAAAAAGCCAGTTTTCCAAAGCTACAAATAGCAGCTTCAGCTTTTTCCTTTGATTTCAGCTTATTCTCACAGCAGCTTCCAAAATAAGCCATTTTTTTTCAGTTTACCAAACACCTAAAACCCTCACAGCTTTTTTTCATATGTGCTTTTTTTTTAAGCACCTCACTCCCAAACTAGGTCTAAATTGTATAATTTCCGGTTCATGTATCACAAAACTCCATATATGAATATATATACTATTCCCAAAATAAATTTATGCAGAAACTATGCACCGTAAACTTTCTAAGATACAATGTCCTGCTTCAACATTACTCAGAAGACATAATCCATTGAATTAATTTGGAAGAAGGGTAAACAAAATTTACCTTAACATCGCTATTAAGAAAATGTGCATCCAGGAGACTTTTTGGTTCAACCTGAATGGAAAATTAACTGATTTTCATATTCAAACAGTGAGCAAAAATGAATTCAGTGCAACCATTGTCAAACCTGCCACTCTTTCGGATCAACTATAGACTTATGGCTGTTTCCGTTGAGTTCTGAACGTGGTGTACGCTGCCAATTGGGATTGCCTTTTTCTCTCTAGCATTTTTACTAAATTTATAGGGCACCCATTTTTTCTGCACTTTCCTAACCAAACACAATCACAAATTACTTAATCACCACACAAAAAAACGCATAACTAGAAATTGAGAGCATGTAATCGAAACATAGAGCTACATACATAACAAAGCATTGGTGCATATTTGAATGAGGGGAAAAAAAAAAAAAGAAGAGATCTTCAAAAAATACACAAAAATTAGCACAATCATAAATTAGAGTACGTTGAAAGAAGCTGTAATATGCCATATGGTTTCATCAAATCAAAAGGTCGTGAGCTCATCACAGATTTATTAAATTAGTGCCTATAATTGAAGTATATATGGACTGCATTTTTAGCATTTGAAATATTAATCACACAACGAAATTACGAACAACAAAACATGAAAAAATTGAAAAGGATATGGCAATGCATCGTTGGCAGGATCCAGATTGACAACTGCAATTTTTCTGCAAGCCGAAACGATGAAATGGTCAATGTAAACATCACAGACATATTTAAAAACACAAATTGAAGCCAAGGAAAAACTTGAAAACCCACAAAAAAACCAAAATCTTATAGGAGTCCTATTTTTCCATCATTTTCCTACTTCGAAATAAAAACAGTAAACTCTAATTTGAGTGCCTACACATATAAACATTGGATAAAAATCGTAAAAAAAAATAATTTCAAAACAGCTACAGAGATAACAAAAATGATAAAAAAAACACCATAAAGATTTTCAATCAAAAGTTTAAGACACTTTAACTCACAGGAAGCTCTGTAACCAGTTGCTAGTGGCTTCATAGTGAAAAGACGACTTTGCTACAAAATAATTAACGTAAGAAACAGTTTAGTATAGCTTAAAACACTCTGGGAAGATCATGGGTATAATTGTCATATACCAATTGATTCATAAATTGTGACTATCCATCCAAGAAAAGCACCTATATGCACTGTAGTATGGTAGATTGTTCATGTGTTCTAGATTCATCATCTGCAAAATATGCATCTATCGAACAACATAAGTCTCTAGAACATTTTCTTAACGAAAAAAAAAGAAACTACAAAATTTGAACTTTGATCTAAAATGCATTCATTAATTTCTTTATATCATTTGAATAAAAAATTATTGCATACAATGAATGTATCCAGTTTGTTTGTACCATACTTGACCAATCCCGAAACTACCGAGCACCGGTCAACGTTATACCGTCAAGGACCCAGAAGAGTTTCCCTCCAACCAGGAGGCCAATCACAGTATGACATGTGTCGACATCAGAAGCCAATCATAGCGCGACATGTGTCAACATTGGAAGCCAATCACAACACGACATGTGTCAATGTCAGAACAAAGCTAGAAACTCTCTTCTATAAAAGGAGATCATTCTCCCACAGTATTTCCTAAT